CAAGGGCCCTGGGAGGTTGGAAAGTGAAGGGAAGAACGCCAATGGACGAAGCAGTCACGACGTCTGAGGTCTGGGCATGCTCCTCTCGCAGCAGGACGGCGAGCTGCGCGCACGCACCGATCCTGGACGGGCCCGCCCGGAGACTGAGCTCAGGATCGGCTCACACGCCCTCCTGGCCCAGGCAAGGCAGGGCGTGCACCGATGCTCGGCCCAAGACGGGCCTCGCCATGCTTCGGCAGTGGGCAGCAGTCCACTCCCGCAGAGCACCCTCTCGTGAAAGCGACCCAGAACCAGACCTGGCGGACGCAGGCCGGCAGAAACCGCGGCCGCGACGCCATCTCGAGGACCGAGCAGGAAGGCGATTCGACAGTCAACTCGGCAGGGTGAAGTTTCTTCCGACCTCCGAAAGATCGACGCGCGTGCAAAATTCTCGGCCGCAAAACCCCGAAGTCATGACCTTTGCACAACGTGGACCGCAGAGGTCTCTCCCGATTCCCCAGGACCAGCACGTGTTCTTGAGTCGCTGGGCGGTCCGGAAGCCCGGTGAAGGCTCCCAGCGGGCGACAATTGTAACACCATATGTTGGCCAGCGTGGACCCCAGACAATATCTTTCTGGCAATATATGAAGTGCCAACTACGCGTTGTACAATATATGTGGTGCAATCTCCGCGTGCCATCGATGTGATGCAGTCAATGTGGTGCTGGAAAACTTTGAGTTGTCAACTCCACTGTTCGCGCATTCATCCCACCGACCCACTCGCAACCTGGTTTACAAAACCCATGCGGCGGCGACTGCGATGAGAGCTTGGTGTTGGCTGGTGCATCTCTGCGGCCGCGCTAGCCCGCACATCCTCGCGCGCACAGCGTCCAACTAGTTTGGCGCGACCGACGCGGCCGCGGAGACGCTGGCTGACCGCGGGGCACTTCCCAGCGGGCTCTTCACTGCGAGTCGGTGATTTGGGCCGGCAAGGCGTCATGGCGATGTAGACAACTGCAGGCACGATGAAGATAGCAGCGATGATGGTGACGATGATGACGATGACGACGGCAAGGCAAATGACCTTGCCGATACTGGTCATGCCGATGACGATGACGATGTCTTCGCGTCGATGATGAAGGTTTTGGCCAGAATTCGACATAGCGCGGCCGACGCGCGCGACTTGCCCGCATAGTATTATTTGAAAAGGATCGTGCCCCCCACCACGCGCACAGGGCGTTGGGATGATTTGGACATGCCGCGCGAGAGCCCTTTGTTCGGTCAAATTTGATAAATATGTTGATAAGCCTTTTGTTTTCTCAAAAAATCGCTATACCGTGCGCACACACCGTTGTTTTAAACACTGGTGTTGCGAAGCTATATATTTTAAATGTGTTCGGGACGCTCGATGTTGAAGTCCTTACGAAATCTTAGGTGTTTGACAAATTGCGGCATGCGCGCGCGACGACGCGCGCATGCACTTCGCCCCATTATGTTGCAAGGGATCCTTGAGACAGCACGCGCGAAGGGCGTTCGAACGATGCCGACCTGCGCGCACACGAGAAGCACGTTTAGTAGCATGTGATGAAAATGTTGACCGACCGATCGTTTTCTCAAGAATTCGCCAAAGCGTGAGCGCATCTGTGTCCGAAACCCTTGCTGTATATGTGTATCCGTGGTTTCGGGACACCCCCTCTTCAATTCCTGGCGAAAGCTGGGTGTGTCTGCTGGATTTTGGCATGCGCGCACGACGACGCGCGCATGCGCATTTCGTCCCATGTTTCGGCGCGCGCACAGGACGACTCGCGCGCGCGCAGCTCGTTCCATGTGTTGTAAAGGATGCGAGGGGGAGGGGGGGGAGGGGCCCCCTCTGGGATGGCACGAACTCATATTCAAGATGGGGGAGCGTGGCAATACCATACGTGCGTTGCGATTCCCAAATCAACGTACTTTAAATCCAAGGGTAGGGGAGGTAGCTCCTATTACGTTTGTGGGGAGGGGAATCTGTGTTCTGCAATCGATGCCATCTAGGTGGTGCGATCTTTGCTGCGCAAGTGCTTTAAACAAACGAGTTGACACATCCCATGCTCTTGCAAACATCCCACCCACCCACCCGCAACTTGGTTTGCAACACCCATGCGGCGGCGATTGCGATGACTGTTTGGCGTTAGTTGGTCCATCTCTGCGGCCGCGCCAACCCAAGCGCGCGCGCAGCGGTAAGCTAGTTTGGCGCGACCGACGCGGCCGCGGAGACGCTGACCGCTGGGCACATTCCAGCTGGCACTTCACTGCGAAGTCGGCGACTTGGGCGGGCGCGGTACCATGGCAATTTCGACAACGGTAGACACGAAAATGATGGTAGCGATGCTGGTGACGATGTTAACAACGACGACGGCAAGGCCAGTGCAGGCGCCGATACTGATCACGCCGACGACGATGACGGCGTCCTCGCGTCGGTGGTGCAGCTTTTGGAAAGAGTTCGACATGCGCGCGCGGCCGACGCGCGAGAATGGCCCGCATGCTTTTAACTGAAACGGATCTTGCCCCCCAGCACGCGCGCAAGGGCGTGCGAATGATGTCGGCATGTGGAGCCAGGAGGCCAGCTTGGCAGAACCCAGTGAACATGTTAAACAAAAAAACGATGGTGTTCTCAAGAATGCGCCAGAGCGCAAGCGCACGCTTTTTTGAAAACTGATGTTGCGAGACCATGTGTTTCTGTATGTTGTGTAGACGCTCCGTTTTGAGATCGCTCCGGAACCGACGGTTTTCGACGGATTTCGGCATGCGCGCACGACGACGCGCGCGCGTGCACTTCGTCCCTTTTTTGGCAAAATTTCATCGCGACGGCACGCGCGAACGATTTCGACATGGGCGCGCGCGAAGCCCGTTTGGTAGCATGTCATGCAGATGTTGACAACCGCTGGTTTTCTTCAGAATTCGCAAGACCGCGCAAGCTTATGCTTGAAAATCCGTGTTGCGAAATCATGTGTTTTATATTTGTTTGGACACTCGATTTTGAAACCCTTACGAAACCATATGTTTTTTTAAGCATTCAGGCATGCGCGCGCGACGACGCGCGCGTGTGCACTTCTTGCCTTTTTTCTGCAAGGGATTATTGAACACCTATGATATTTGATGAGCAAATGCGTGCGCATACTATTTGTTGACAAAAAGTATGACAGGGGGGATACTGGCCTGGCTGGGCTGGTGTGAGTTCATACTGTGGATGGACGAAGGGGAAGAAGCACCTGTACATTGCAATACGAAAAGGGGGGTCCATCATCCCCGGGGGGGGTCGAGCCAATTGCTTTGTAGACAAGAGAATCTATGGGGTGCTATATGTGGTGCGACCTATGTGGTGCAAAGTGGTGCACGTAATTTCTGTTCGCAGCGAGTTGTCCACTCCACTGTTCGCGCAATCATCCCACCTACCCACCCGCGACACGGTTTGCAAGACCCATGCGGCGGCGACTGCGATGAGTGCTTGGAATTGGCGGGTGCGCTCCTGCGGCCGCGCTATCCCGCGCATGCTCGCGCGCGCGCAGCGGCCAGATGGTTTGGCGAAACCGACGCGGCCGCGGTGGTCAGTGCGAGTCGGCGACTTGGGCGGGCGCAGAATCATGGCAACGTCGACAACAGCAGACGCGATGGTGATGGTAGCGATGCTGGTAAGAATGATGACGACGACAGCAAGGCCAGTGACGGTGCCCATGCTGATCACGCCTGAAACGATGACGGCGCCTCCGCGTCGGTGCTGCAGGTTTTGGAAAGAGCTCGGCATGCGCGTGCAGCCGACGCGCGAGAGTGGCCCGCATGGTATTATTTGACACGGATCGTGCCCCCCCAGCGCGCGCGCAAGGGCACTCGAACGATTTCAACGTGTGGCGCGAAGGCCCGTTTGGCCGAATTTAAGGAACATGTTGAACAAGAAAAACCAGAAAGCAGGTTTCTCAAGTATTCGCACAAGCGCGAGCGCAGGCTATTTATAAAACTGACGTTGCGCAATCAAGTATTTTTGTGGTCGGGGCAGTCGATGTTGAAGGATTGCGGCATGCAGCGCGCGACGACGCGCGCGTGTGCACTTCGCCCCATGAGTTGCAAGGGGTTCTCGCGACAGCACGCGCGCAAGGGCGCTCGAGCGATTATGACATGCGCGTGCGGGAAGACCGTAAGCAAGTAGGACACAGTCTTCAATATATATATATATATACACGATCATTTGCTTAAGAATTCGCAAGATATCAGGTGCAAGTTTTGTTTGAACATCCGTGTTGCGGAGCCATGAGTTTTTACACGTGTTCATGATATTCAGCTCTGAGATCCGTACGAAACATAAGGTTTTTGAAAAAAAAACTTCGGCATGCGCGCACGACGGCGCGCGCGTGCGCGCATCGTCACATTGTCTACATCGGGCGATTGAAGACTGATGATTCCTGATGAACGAGTGCGCGCGCATACTATTTTTTGCAGAATGATGAGGGGGGGCGGATACCGGCCTGCCTGGGATTGTGCGAATCCATCCATAAGATGGACGATGGGGCAATATCATATGTCAATTGCAATACGAAGCGGTGAACCGCTAATTCCAGGGGGGTAGATCCTGATACGCTTTTAGAAACGAAAACTTATGTTTTGCGCGGCGACGTTGCGGCAAAGTGGTAGCAACGGCGGCAATCTAGCCGACGGACCGGCAGACAGGCCCAGACGACGGGCGGCGACCAGGCGGCGACGGGGCGGCGACGGCGGCAACATAGCCGCCACATCTGCAGACAGGCCCAGCTCCTCAGAAGAGGAATCAAAACCCTGCGTGCAAGCACGGCTTTGGGAACAAAAGCCTTCCGTTGTTATGTATGTTTGTCACTGCGCGTCTGTAAAGTGAAACTCCGCCGACGCTGCTGCCGCCGCCGTCGTCGTCGTCGCCGTCGTCGTCGTCGCCAGATCGCAGCCTGTGCTTCCAGCTCTCGTGCAGCCGCTCCGTGACGAGCCGCCAGTCCCTCGGCGGACCCGCGCCGGGCGGCGCGT